GTTACTTAGCACCACCTGCTTCTCCTGGGAGCCGAGAGAGAGACCCACAGTGCTGAGTGGCAGGGGCTGCCGTGGGGGAGAAGAGGGGGCTGCAGGCAAGGGGAAGTGGGGACAGGCACTTGGGAATAGCAGGGCCTGGGAGGTCAGGGGGGAGGCCCATGGGGTGGTGGAGGAGGTGGGCATGGGGCCTTCCCTGGAGAGGGGAAAGGGGCCGGTGCAGGGGGCAGCTGGTGGATCTGGGGTAAGATGCCCATGGAGCTGGTGGGGAGGTGCCCCTCAGGGAGGGGCTGGGGCTGGTGGGGGGATCGGGGCCGTGGCTGCGAGCCCCCCACACTTACCCGGATGAAGCTCTGGTACGAGGGCTCGCCAGGCTTTGGTGGGTTCATGACGACGTCCAGCAGCACCTGGCCGGGCACGGGTGGGCACAGACGCACCGACACCAGCTTGGAGAGCTGCTGCTGCACGGCCGGATCCAGGTTCACCACCTCCATGTACCCGCCCCGGAACCCACACCTGGGGGCGAGAGGGTGAGACTGGGGCCTGGCTCCCCCTCCCTCTGGGACCCCTGGGGGGCGGGGCCTGGCTCCCCCTCCCTCTGGGACCTCTCGGGGGGCAGGGCTTGGCTCCCCCTCCCTCTGGACCCCTGGGCATTGGGGCCTGGCTCCCCCTCCCTCTGGGACCCCTGGGGGGCGGGGCCTGGCTCCCCCCTCCCTCTGGGACCCCTGGGGGGCGGGGCCTGGCTCCCCCCTACTTGGGGGGATCACTGGTTTGCTCCCCCCATAGGCACCCCATGAGTCCTTACCTTGCCCCTCGATGCCCTGGGACCTGTGTCTCTCCTGCTCAGTGGGGGCGTCCCCTGTGGGGCGAGGTCTCTGGGACCCCGGGGCGAAGGGGCACCAGGCTGGGGGTGGGCACGGGACTACGGCCCCACTCTTCACTGCCAGTGGGGTTCCCCAGCCCGTGGAGGGCACAGCCACCAGGGGGCGCCACAGGGGGCTTTCCATGCCCCGTGCTCTGCCCCATGCCCCGGACGCTGGGCAGGCGGCCTCGGCGCGGGGGGCAGAGTGGGGGCGGGCGGGGGGGCACTCACTCTCCCATGAAGCCCTTGGAGATGGAG